TGCCCCATACACATTTTCAAATACTAAAAAATATTTAAATAAATTTTAATTTGTACCGCAAAACAAAAATGTTACGAGAGTTTTGTTACAAAGAACTCATTGTCGAAATTTCATGGCATCAGTTTCATGCAGATAAGTATTAGAATACCCACCATTAATTGCGTATAAATTGCATGATTTTTACGCCTGTTTTAATGCATGTTTTGGCGAAATATGGGTGCGGTATTTTATGAACGCAATGTCTCAACCCTTTAGGTGCAATAATTTTTCAGCCATGAGTTACAGTTTTTTAATGAAAATTTCGCGTTTTTCATGGTACACACTAAACGTAACTCAAAATTGCTGCCATCTGTCTGTATGTTCAAAATTTTCACCACGGATGCATTACGCCTAATGTTAACTCGAGATTTACAACTACTTTTTCCATTACTTTTCCATTTTATTTTCCATTTTCTAAATATTAACTCCTACAGCAATGCTACGGAAATACTCAGGGAATGCCGTTGATTTGACTTTACCGTTTGGGGTATATATACTTGGACGTAAAAGTGATAATTTTTGTCGATCGGGTAAGACCCGTTATATGTATGAACTGCGGAAAATTGCCTCCCATCAGTGGCATCTCTCTAATCGCCTCCACATAGTATGGGCCACCCCATAGGGCCTTTCCTGACAAGATTTTTTACACTTTCAATTCATAGTATTCCACCAAGAGCCATTATGTAATGCACCAAATTCGTCGAATTTGGTTATTGTGCTAATATCGTAGAATGATAATTTTTGTAAATATTTCTGATCACACTGTTAAGATTTGAATAAGTTAACCATTAAAAAAACCATGCGTGCATTTATTATGAGAGGATTTTGGCTGGAAGGAGATTGCAAAATTTGGTTAAATTTATGAGTAAAAAACACCCGTAACATAGTGAATTAATTTGATTTAATAGTTGTGATTTTTTTTATTAAAAACCTGAGTTTTTATGAACCCACGGTCATGGACGGGGAAATGTGTTACCAAATTGGGTAACAATATAAAAGACTCAAATAAATACACGCCAAGTTGCTCAGAAAATAAATAGCAGACTATGTATGGATCTTATTGTCTGCATGGAAACAAAATTTCTTAATACACTTAATTTGTAGTCCAGGAATTTCGTGACTGATTTACTTATAACAACTTCCATAAATGTGTGTCTCATCCTTGGTGAAAGTAGGCAGTGGTAGTTCTATGTACGACTGTATTTTTTCATATACAAATTTGCATTAGGGGGTTAGTAGGTTAGAATTTAAGCCAATGTGGTGAATGTGTACTGGATGTAGCATGGGTTTGGATGTCTTTCATTGTCTCACTACTGGTCTGTATATGTATGTACACATAAAAACGGAACTGGTCACGAGCACAGCAATCGGACAATACATCCTCTTTCAAAGAATTTGACTGTTTTAAAAAGTAAAATGCACTCTAGATTTTAAATTATGTAAACTTTTCCAAATCCGGAGTAACTTTAACTTGATAAAGAGTAAAGTTCAGTGTGAATTTAGTGCAGTTTGTTTAATGTCTAATTCAGAGTTCATTTACTTTTCAAAGGGTAAAATCATTTTTAAGAGTGTACATACATACATTTATCTACCTATCTCACCAAACACGAAAATGTTAAGGTACATAAAGACATGTGTACATACATATGTACACCTCCAGACCAAATGGACTGTCTATATAGTACGTCCTCAAGAAATTCGGACCTTAACACCTCTCTCCCACCCTAATACCAACCCACCGCTTTTATGTCGTAATATATTGCCGCTCCCTGAAGCGAATTATGTATGCCATTCTTACGAACTATGGAAATTAGTATATGTAAGAATATACATAAATCTATACACTCTAAATAAAATTATGTAAAACTTACTTAAGGCTGAGTAAAATAGAGGATCATACAGCACCTTGGCAAAATGTATTTAGCGTCTTTTTATTTAGAGCGTATGTACAGGATAAATATGTAATCGTGCATGTATGAAATAGATCATTAAATTAGAATTAATAAGGTCGTGTTTAAATATATCATTACGAAATTGGTATTAAGTCATTAATGCGTGAAATACATATGTACGTGTACGACTCCATCGACACGGTAATAAGTAGTAGAACCGTTGCGTAATCATATGGTTATAAGAAATTTAGCACTTTGGAGCAAGCTAATACCAATGAGGGGGGAAATTGCTACGAAATAAATGCCAATATGTGACTCTACCAAATTTTTACAGCGTATTAAATATTTTAAATTTCTTTATTCCTAATCCACCTTTGCATTGGAGACGGAAACGAGGGGACGAGAGGACAAGGTCCCCCTGCCCAGAAATTCGACAAAATTGTACACTCCCTCCCACTCTAATCCTACAACGGTAATGTCCCCTCAACTCCCACCCCTACTCAAGATGAAGATGACTTTCTCCAGTTACAAAATTACGAAAATGCGTATCCTGACCTTGCGATGAGATGGACGCCGCCTTCCCAACCTCCTCCAGGCCGGGGATCGCACTCCAATCCAGACACTGGATGCACGAGTTGCTCTCTTGCGGCTGCCAGGCGAGAAGATCACGAAATCTGTCCCACCACCGCCCAATCCGCAGCCAGAATCCTCGCCACCCATACACAATGTCCAGTCTAAACTCGTCCCACCTCTCTTTCAGGGTTGGCATGATGATAAGTTCTTATGATTGAGTCACATGATTACCAATTAAAATTTTAATTTATGATATCCAGGTTATATACAATTTAGGTGTGGTCGATGATAATTCATTTCAGAACTGGGTGAAAGTACAAGTGAAAGTATGCCTGTTTGTTTGTACGACTGAATTTTTTCATACACAAAATTTGCATTGGGTGGTTAGAATTTACGTAAACGTGGCAAATGTTGTACATATGTATGTAGTGGATGTTTGTATCATTGGTTTAGATTTCTCCATTGTCTTAGTACTGGTCCTTGTATGCAAATACGGACGGAACTGGACACGTAGCCAGCAATTAGACAATTCAGTTCCGTCTCACCTTATGCGAGAATTCTAAAGAATTTTAAATGACATAAAGGAAACCTCAAGACCCACTATGAAGAATACCTATGAATGTAAATATGCATGTTTCTAAGTATGTATGTATGTACCCTCTAAGAAATTTAATCACTGGATTATCACTACAAATATGTGATGAGACTAGTGTCTACTGGATCGTGATCATATCCCACGGTCAGAGCTTCGTTACCGCATGTAAATGACCTACCACCAATTCGGCGTTAGTCAATCCTCACGTATGTACATATGCATAAACACAACACCACCAATTGGTTTTTGATCCTACATACCACCAGGTATGTAGAGTCACATCCATCAACGGATTTTTTAGAGTGTAGCTAGATGTTTGGTGTATGTATTTTTATGCGTACATATGTAGCAACATTTGTGCTTTGAGACTGTGCACAAAGCATGTGGAGAGGGGGAGGAAGGGGGAAGGGGCAAAGGCATTCTATCCTGCCCATGTTAATAATAACATAAGGAGATATAGTTCACACTAAGGGCACGGGGGCGCAGAAAATGGATGACATGCTGCATGCACGGCCCTTCCATGAAACGCTAAGGAGAAGTAGCGATACAACTAAATAATAAAGTCATGTTTGAAAAATGTAGTGCGTATTTATGTAAATACTATCTATGTAGAAAAAATTTGTTCATGAAAAATTAGCTAAATTGAATCATCATCCTTGAAGGGAGATAAGTAAATGCAAATATTCACACCAGGGTATTTAGCAAATTAAAATCATGGATTTATTATAATTATGCTACAACATAAAGGATACCGTAAAAACTCAAATAGTAGCCGTGCTCAAATAGTGGCCCTGCGTTTTTTCATATGTAATTTTATAAATAGTGACCTTGCCCAAATAGTAGCCCTGCTCAAATAGTGGCCCTGCGTTTTTTCATATGTAATTTTATAAATAGTGACCTTGCCCAAATAGTAGCCCTGCTCAAATAGTAGCCCTGCCTAAATAGTAGCCTTATTCGAATTATAGTCGTGCATCAACTTAACCACACATCTAGCCAGGTCATTTAAGTAATTCAATTTTAATTCAATTTAATCGCAACTACATACAAAAAATCGAGGCGAACACGAAATTCGGCACATCGAAGAAATTGATTAAGAGCAGGTTTAAACAATAGAATTCTCATAAACTACGATTCTAATTGAGAAATTGGTGCTGTTATTAAAATTTAATTTGAGCTAGATTTTGGAAACAAAATTCAATAGCTGTGTGCAAATAGTAGCCGTGCATCTTCCCGTCATTTTATAAATAGTGACCCTGCCCAAATAGGAACAACTTGCTCAAATAGTAGCCGGGTCCCAGACACCGATTTTATTAATAGTAGCCCCCGGCTACTATTTGAGTTTTTACGGTACATATCTAACAAATAATTATAACCGTTTTGATAAATATGTAATCGTTCAAATACATACGAAAGAGAAACAAATACAGTAACAAGAAGTGAAAGCGAGTAAGAAAAGAGGAGAAATGGAAGCATAAGATCCACGTGAGTAAATATGTATGAATGTATTTCCCCTGGAAAAAGTTCAAATTCTCGCTCACGTATAGAATCGTAATCTCGAGGAAATTGAACATTATGAAAACTTCTCAAACATGAATTTGATGATTTATCTATGTAAGGATAAATAATTTTTGTGTCATCAAAGTCAGAGCAAGACTGCCGGCGTTATACGAAGCGTGTTTATAAATATGAGCACTGCTGAGATATCGCATCTCAAAATTTTCGATACATATCCGAACCCAGCAAGGTCAAAGTGAGTTATCAATTATTGTGAGCTATCCAAATGTTCGTTATGTGTGAAATACACCGGAATTTTAAATCGTTATTCGTCAATATCGCGGGAAGCAGGAAACAATATGTATACATATTCTTTGCACAAAAAACGACTACAAAAGTATACATGCTTTTGAAAAACATTATTATTTATTATATAAATCAAACATACGTAATTTCACATTTAATTTCTACACTTTATGTATTCGCAACAATTCATTATCTGGAGTACTTAGATATTTATAATCGCATTTTTGATTGAGTTACTTAATTACGTTGCATTTGCATATTTAAATTAAGTATTTTTCTAGCTTTATTGATGTATGCGAAAAACCCATCCAATTTTGGACGTACTTATCGTTTCTACCTGCTTGTCATATGCATAATATTGAATCATTTATAATTACACCCTGAATCATGAATCGGCAAGACAAACACACACAATTACAAAGTAAACTTTGTACGTAATAAATTTCCATGAGATTTTTTTCCAATGTTTTTTATCACAAGATTTTTACCTTTCTAAATTTCCATACATATGTAAGCTACAAACGGTATGAAATACATAAGCTTCTTGTCATTTGAATTATTTACTAAATTTTCTAAAATTTTTAAATTTTCTAAAATATAAATTTAATCAGTATAAATGAGGCATTAGAAGAAGGCTAAAGTTATAAGGTAAAACTCTCCCCTCGAAAATTAAGCCATTTTCATGGACACAGATGTTCATAAATTGGGGGGTACTCACTTAAACCTGTTCGAAAATTTGGCATATTTGCCAAAAATTTTACGAAATTTGCATGGTGTTACAAAACTTTCATGTTAAAAATAATGTGCGATTTTGATTCGCAAAATTGACCCAGCATGTTTTTATTTCGCGATTATGGAGTTGCGACGCAAAATAATTCGCCGACGTGAGTACCTCCATAATTTTCACAAAATTTGCTAAATTTCGCAAAACTTGCTGGTTAAAAACCATGTCTGATTTTTCCTTGCAAAATTTACCCAATTTTTTTCGCAAATATTTTGCTATTTGAGTTAGGTTGAGATGTCGACGTGAGTATGTACCCCCACAATTTTGCCAGGTTTCATCAAAAACCGGTATTTAAATCTGTGCCATTTTTTCCGCATTTTTTCGCACCATTTAGTAAATTATCAGGTCTTAACCATAAAACGTGGAAATCCCAACAAATTTTCACAGTATTATTGAAACGGTTACATACATATTTAAGTCCTATTTAAACTCATTTTTTGAAAGAACAATTCCGTCACGAAAATTATTCGAAATTCTTCTTGTTCAGAAGTAAGTTCCAGAGAAGACGTTGTCGTAAATTAAGTTGACCAACTTTCAAGATAAGAGTGGCTGCAAAGAAGGGTGAAACATAAATTTAATTACATAGATAAAACTGTCAACGGGTTTGATTTGTAGGATTTGACATGAACAGTACACTCTTAAAAATATTGTTACCCTCTTGAATAGTAAATACACTCCTACAAAAGGCGTTAGGACATGGTTTTGACGAATTCATATTTTGATTGCGGGATGGTTTTTAGTTGTAGAGATTTCTAACATTTTTTATGTGAAAGCCCGTGTCTCAAACTATAGGTAAACATGTCTGGCTTCCGGTTTTGTGTACTCTGCGAAATGAGGGAAGGTCAAATATAGAGAGGTGTCCTTTTTTAGTTTTCCAAACCAGTGTTCTTATAAAATGGCGTTGAACAAAAGATTTTTTTCTTAGGTCCTGATGCAAAAATCGTCTTTGCGAGTATTATCAAGAGACTTAGCATACTTTTCACTATATAAAACCATTTTTGTCTCATGCTTATCTTTTAAGTCACTTTTGTAGTCTAGCTTCATACTTGTCCTAATGGAATGCTCTCGTTAACGCAACTCCTCGACTTTTAAGGCCCCCACATTTTAGGACTTTGATTCTAAAAATCCCTAACGTTGTTTTTATCCAAGGTACATATAGTATATTGCACTGTAAATATTTTTGATTAAATTTTGATAAGTGGTTACACCCCACGAAATGAGTTTTCATCAAACCCAATAAAATTTTTGGAAAAGTTGCCGTCGTCATCAAGGTTGAACTTCAAAAATAATTTAACTAACCAAAACTTGGTAATTTTATTATTTTGTCACTTGTACCTTGTAGGCAAAATAGTTCTGTAGCAGGGGACACAAAAACGTTATTAAAATTTATTTTCAACAAAATTTGACCATTAATTTTCCAAATTAGTTTACGAGTTTTTTATGATTCCCCGTCAGCTGATTAGCTTGGGTCCTTCTCCAAGACTGTTTACTCAAAATCTTAACTATTTTGTTTAATATTACTCAGGACACTTCCAGCTTTACCCTCAATCTTCATTTGACCCAGTGGGTCTGCATTCAAGGTCAGCAGGTCAATTTTCCCGTGCACGATCCGATTTATCACTTTTCATGGAAAAATTTCATTGACAATGGAAGGCCAACGTTATGTAATTCATTGTGGATTCTTTTATTATTACATCCAATGATTATCTAGGGTTATAATATTAAGAACAATTCACCTCTGACCTCTTAGGTTATTATGCTATACGAGTACTTAAGTTTGGAAAGTGTTTTTACGGCACCCTCCAACTCTGAGGACACTGGAGGTGTCATTTTTTAAGCTATCACCTTAAAATTTTGGAAATACCTTTTTGAGAGTATTATCTTGCAGTCTACCAAAAATCACTTCAAAATTCTACTCCCTGTCAGAGATATTCACCCGCGAATTCGTCAAAACCATCACCTAACGCCTTTTGTAATTCTATGTTTTAGAAGCTAACCATTGGAGTGGAAACCATATTTTACACAGATTATGTTTTTATCACCTCAGTTTAAAAGGCAAACTCATTGGAAACATCATTTTGTGTGACGTTTGCCCAAATGTGCGAAATTCAGAGAATTTCGGGCGCCACAAATTCGCAAAAACGCTCGGTTTTCATGAGAAATTAATACATGAAAAGTCCGACATGCTCCCGCGGTGCACAAATTCTACTCGAAAATCAAGCTTTTTTCGTATTTGCGGTACTCGGAATTCTCTGAATTTCGCGCATCTGCGCAAATCTTGCACAAAGTGATGTTCCCAATGAGTTGGTCTTTTAAACTGAAGTGGCCAATAAATAATCCGGGTGGAACATGGTTTGTGTCCCCATTTTCCCCAGAGTAACGTTAACTTCAAGTTAATAACTTGAAATCAAGTTAACGCAGTAAACTTTATTCTTAAAAGAGTAAAGTTTACCCCGGATTTATTACAGTTTACTTAATGTAAAGTCGAGAGTGTATTTAATTTTCAAAAAGGGAAACGTTATTTTTAAGAGTGTAGCATTTCGCAGTTTTGTCTAATTTGCATACCCTGGGAGCAGAACATAAGACACCGATTGTGGCCACAATGGTGAAGAGGGTGAACACAATGAGGCAGACTCGATCCATCACCATCGCTGCAAATTTCCATTCGTTCGTCAACACCAGGTCGTCCTTGTCCTGAAAAAAAATAATCGAATATTTGCACCGAAAATTTCAAAGGAATTTTGAAAGCTCTTTGCTAAAATGTGATGACGACACTCTAAATTACTTGGTCAACCCAGGAGTGCTTTATAGTGCTTTATCTTGGACAATGATTAATGAGACATTTTGTCCCCTGAGGAAAATAAGTCAAAAACTCGTGTACCAAACATCGTCAAGTCATGTTTAAAAAAAATGAACATTATTATTATCCGAGCATCAAATTTTTTTCATAAAATATTGAATTCTTTTATATGTAGGCACGTCCTGTCTTGTACCTGAGTTTTTGACTTATTTTGGGGCCGTACTTAAAGAATGTGATCGATTTTCGGGAAATTTTGACCCCTACCTATTCGCTGTGACCTATACGCCCCATCTTATAATTAACATGGTAAGGATTGGATTCCTTGACCCTTACCTCCCTCAAATCGATTACATGCTTTCTGCCCAGTCCCTTTGTGACAAAACGTCTCCTTAATAATCACCCAAAAATGAGGACTGCTTACATAGTGGGGTCACAAGTTCTCGTGAATGCATTTCCGGTAATAAATCCCAAAGTATTAGAGCTATCTGTTCGAAATTTTTATGGATTAAGAAGCTATTAATATTGTTTAGAAATCATAACTTCTGTGTCAAGATTTCGTCCACGGGCAATTAGACAAGACATAACTCGTGACGGCCACAGGTTGATCGTGGTACGCGCCAATTTTCGTGCCAAAAGTATTTCAGACTTTTCACCGTTGGCAAAAAATTTAATAGAAAAAAAGGCCAGATATTTGTTGTACAGAAGTCTGACATCCGTATAAGGATGCGGAAGTCAATACGAAGTCATCACCGTGGTGTGCATGGGAGCAAGTTGGCTGGAGAAATGAAATCTCTGTTTTTTATCGCAAAGGGTACAAGTTGAAGCCAAGAATTATTTTCAGAGTGTCCTAAAGCCAAACGTTAATAACCTGAACCCTGGACCCTCCGAAAATCGACATTGGACCTTTCAACAAGACTCTGTTCCTGCGCAAGGTGCAAAATTGTCCAAAACTGGCTTCAGACGAATTTTCATGACTTTTTTCATCCGTAGAACGGTGCTCAGTACAGGGTTGCAGAAATCTCAGCTCACTGAGATATAATGAGAAATAGTGAGACATGAGAAATATGAGATTTAGTGAGATTTATGAGCCATGCACTAGCGCCACCTAGCGGATGTGGTCATGAACTACAAGTTTATCTCATTATTTCTCATATTTCTCACTCAGCCCCAAGTGAGATGATTGATATATATCATTAAATCTCACTAAATCTCACTCAGTGATATATATCACTTGTAACCCTGGCTCAGTATCTGCAGACCTTAATCCCCTAAATTATGACTGGTGGTCAAAATTATAGGTACAAGTATGCTCTAAATTTCACCCAAGTGTGGAAGGGCTGAGGTCGCACTTACTGAAGATCTGGCGCTTTTCCCAGGAAATCCGTGCGTGCCGCGATCGAGCAGTTTTCGCCACGACTTATGTCTTGTGTACAAGCCCGTGGAGGAAATTGTGAAAACGAAGTTATGATTTCTAAACAAGATTAATACCTTGTTCATCCACAAAAATTTCTATCAGATAGCTCTAATACTTTGGGCTTTATCACCGGAAATGCATTCACGGGAACTTATGGTCGGACTATGTACACTATATACCTCCCCGGGTGAAGATTTGTCTCCAAGTTATTTAGGGTGAGGTAGATAAATGTGTAAGAATTTCTCTAGCATACATACACCTGATCACAGCGGAGATTAGTATGTAAGACAAAGGATTAATAATTAATTACTTAAGAGCTTTCAGAAATTAGGAATTAATTACATTCCACAAGCTTCTTGCAAGTAATTTGGTTTCTGAAAATGATTGGCATACATACCTCACGAAGCTTCTTTGTAATAATTCTGATCTCTTTAAGGATTTGGGAGACTTCACGTCGCCCCAGAAACGGACAGTGATCTCCGGCAAATGGGGCGCGATGTTGCGAACCACCAAATCGATACCCTTGCGTCGCATATTGACCAGCAGTAGGGCGCAAATCGTCGTCCATGTCTGCGGTTTTTTCAACATTAATTTAAAACAAACTTATGTTAATTAATTAATTTTTAAAAATTTAAGGAACTGATAATAAAACTAAAGTAAAAGCAATTTTCAAACTAATTTACCTATTTAAAAAACACAAATTCTTAGAATTACTAAATAAATACTTAAATAGAATTACCAAGCACGTTCGCCATGAGACTTTGTGAGCACATGTCTTTCATCTCTAGCTCGCGCATTTCATCCCGCGTCTGCGCAGAGGCAGCTATTGTCATCAGCGTGATTCGGTCGTTTGGTCGACTCATTCGCAAAAGCCAGGGGAGCCATTGGAGCAAAAGGACGCGAATCTAAGCGGGCAAGGAATAAACCAGTTAGCGCCATGATTAAAGAAAGTGAAAGTAAATATTCAGCACAATCAGATTTGAACAATTATAATTTAAATAATTTACGTAATGATTTAGGCTTAGTTACCCTAAATGCATAAATTATTAATTATTAAATCCAACCAGATTTACAGCTTACCCATTCCGGCATTTCATGCGTGTCCGCCGCGCGGTGATGGTAGTTCAAGACAAGAACCGTCGACACCACGGAGGACGCCACCATGAACATGATGCAATTAAAGTACGTACCTTGACAATCAAATGAATTAATTATCTAACTGAATATTATAATTATAATGAGGGTATTCAGAATTGTCTTGATATCCGCAGTATTCTAAAATATTTTACCACGATAAGAAGCTCCGTAAAAAGTAACCTTGGTAAAGCGAATTTTTAACGACAAAATCTTATCCCGGTAACAAAAAGTTCGTAAAATATTTTACGATACGAAGAAAAGTGGCTGCGGAAGCGTGTTGACAGAGGGACAATGTTCCCAATGTTTATTTAATGTCCCCATCACCTTCCCGTGTTACAGGAACCCATCCCCCTATTCTACAATGTTGATGCCCCCAGATGTCCCCACAGCTTCTGCGGCCACTGAAGAAGAATACTAAGAATACTAAGGATATTTGTACGAAGGCTTCCTGAACACGTTCAATAATTGTAAACAAACAAACCCAAGAGTGGGACGGCATCTACGAAAAGAAGGAATCATGTCGTTACATAAATACATACATAAATATGAAATTTCCCAAGTAGAATATTTTCGAAAAATACCCACCTGAAGTTTCCGGCATCGTTTCAGCCACCATGTTCAAGAAGAGGGTTAAACTAAGCAGGATTGTGACACCTGGAAGAATGACATAAGTTTTTAATAATACAGTAGAAACTTCCGCGGTAGGCTCGGAAACATATTTTATGATTTATGTCTTAGGAAACACATTTTCATAAATACCAAATTTCAAAATTCCTTCAGTGTCATTTCTTAAAATTTCATTTCACATGACTTTGTGGCATGTTTCTACCACATTACAAACTTTCCAACCCCACAAATGGCGTCATGTGCTGTTTAAACCGCGTAAGGAAAAACCACTGCAATTGATTTATGACGTTACACGTCATAGCGTGACACTGATTTATGGTGTGACTTGACGTTCCCTTTCAAAATTCATTGTTTGCAATATATCTCGTAGTTCGGGCTAAAACCCCGATTTTTTATCGGGTTAAAGGAAAGAAAATCGGTTTTACCGGTGGTGACACGGAAAACGGAACGTGAACCGGTTTTAAAATCCAAAATCAAATAGCAACTTACCCAAAGATAATTTTTCACCAGAGTCTGGAGGCTGTTTATAAAAAAGTGCAGATTTTTTAATGTACAAAAAAATTTTGCACAATATAAAATATCCAGGTTAAAAAGTCGCGCCAAAATATGAATAATGTAGAAAATCATTACAATTTGATACGTTAGAGATTTAAATATAAAAATACCAGTGTAAATCCAAGAACGGCCATGGACGCGATCAATACACCTAAAAATTGCAAACATTATGCAAATTTTTTTCACTGCAATTTGAATATTTGACTATGCAGATATAAATAATGATGAACATACATGGAATCTATTTCCAGTAACGGGTCACAATTGTTTGTCAAAGTGACGAAGGGGAAAAATGAGACAAAAGTGAGAATTATCAGTAATGATTTCCAAGTAAATTCTTAAATATTTAATACTCATTAATTGGAATTAATTAATAATCTTAATTATGAATTATATCTTACAATCAAGTTTGAGAAGTAGTAGAGAGTTCTTCTCTGGATGTGAATGACAAACGTAATGTCGACATACGGGCTGGGACAGCAGTCATAATATTGCGCAGTTCGCGTAGCTGGAAGACCTGAAAAAGTACGAATATGAATGATTAATTGTGTTTTTATTTGCGAATTTTTAATAATACTGACGTTCATGTTAACTTCAAAATTTGCAGGTGGGCTAAAACACTCTTTTCAACATCTCATATTTCGTACTTATCGCAACTCGATCATAATATAGTTCGTGAAATAAATAATAGCATATTGTTTGCAAATAAATTCCAATCGTCTCCCAGAAAAAAAAAGTTTTTACTAAGTGTCGAAAACTTTCCGTAATAAATAGGCAATTTATTTTGGTACACTCTTAGAAATCCAATATAACAATATTACCATACGGTACTTATGCATGTATGACTGTACCAAAAAGTGGTATTTATAAATAATTCGGTTTAGTAATATATAGCTTGGTATTCAATTTTGACCATATCTGTAGCAAAATTTTTACCACTGTTATACCCAATTTTAATACCACGTGGAAGCCACTTCTACATAATACCGAGAAATCAATACATGCCTGACTATATCAGATTTCATAGTGTATTCACGTCAACATCTCACTTTTCCCATCTCAACTCACTTAGAAAATAGTTTGCAAAATATGCAAATAATTTCGCAAAACCCTTAACAGCATCGCAGAAAACCCCATCGCTTCCAAAGAAAAAGTTTTTACGTTGCAAACTTTCGACAATAAATAGGCAATTTATTTTGATAAGTACGAACCGTTACTTATAAGATTTGCGAGTCAAGTGAGTACCCCCATTTGTACCAAATTCGAAGAACAAGCTACATCTTTTTTTTCTTAAAAGTTCTTAAATTTCCCAGAAACCTGATACCTTTCAAATCCCATTCTCCATTCTTAACGAATCCACTTATGTCTCCGCCATCCTCCGAGATCAGTTGCAGATCCAGCTGAAAAGTGGAGATAGAGTGAAACTCTTTATATAAAAAAAATGATGCTCTTTTGTATTTCCAACATGTATGTGTGCAAAAAAAGAAAGAAACTTATGTACCTGAGCCCCGTCATAAGTCCAACTGCCAAATTTCATCTCGCACTTTTGTTCATCGAAGGGAAACCAAGTGATGTCGATTTTGCACGTGCTCTTAAAAATGCCTGGAGGGATGTAGGAACAATTTCCGTCGCTTTTCACCACCACGTTCGTTGGGTACGTGCCATCAAACTTTTCGTCGGCACTGCCAAAAGAGAGAAGAAAAACGGGGATAGAGTTACGTACGACCACAATTTATACACATTTTATTTATAAGATTCTTATAATTAAATTATAATTGATCGTTTTGTTTACATGCAACAGGAATTATTTATTAGCAGAACAGAGGGCGGATATGTACATTTTTACGCAAAATAGACGAAGTATGTAGATATTTTTTAAGGGTCATGTCCGTTGGAAACGTGCCATCAAACCTTTCATCTGCACTGCCGAAAGAGGAGAAAACTGAGCTACATATAGTAACGCAGCCACAATTTATACTGATATACTTCTCTTGTTTATAAGATTATTCTAATTAAATTATAATTGATCATTTTACATGCAACAGGAATTATTTATAAACAGAGGGCGGATATGTACATATTTATAGAAAATGTCTGGAATGTGTATGCTTTTAACGACCACGTCCGTTGGACACTTGCCAGCGAACTTTTTATCTGCATTGCCAAAATAGGAAGTACCGAATCTGTAGTAACGCACCCATTGTAACGACCACAATTTGAAGTTATTTTGTTTATAAGATTGTGGAAATTAAATTATAATTGATCATGCTATGTATGTATTTAAATGCAACAGGAGTTATTTATTAACAGAGGGCGGATATTTATTTGTTTGCGAAAAATCGCTGAAATGTGTAAGTATGTATATTTTAAAGGATCACGTCCGTTAGACTTTTTCATCTGCACTGCCAAATGAGGAAGAAACTACGGTTAGTAGGGTTCGGTCGGAAAGTAAAGAAACATTTGAAAAATGCCTGTAAAATCCGGAAAACTTAATTAATTCCAATGACACTTTTAAGGGTTAAGAACAAGGTCCTTATCGTTCAATTTTTTGCTTCATATGGTCCATAGACCCCCATCCTTCCTATCTGGCGAATTATTTGCCTCGCGGTCACCAGAAGTGCTTTGCCACTCTTTCTCGCTACCACTTTTGAGGTGTTTGTCCAAATGTGACGGAATCTTACCAAGTTTTTGGGTGGTTTTGTTCGACGACTATATTCTCTCTTGCATAATGCCCAAAATCGTTCAACTGGTCTTGCCCGAGGGACGTAGGGAGCATATTCCTTTTCTGCAACAAAATCGATTTTTTTCGACCGCAACAAGTCCAGAACAACTTTTGAAGAATTACATGTTGCTGTGTCTGGTCAGAAAAGTACATTACGATTATTGATAAAGGGGATCAAGATCTACTTTACACAATCGTTCAGATATCTTTCCGAGGTCATGGTGGCTGTGGTCACGAACGGCTTTGAGACGTCCCCCAATGAGTCCAATGCTTGCCCGATTATGTGCTTTATGGGGAATTTTGACTTGGGCGTGTATTTGAAGGAATCTTTAAACGTTTTCTTATTAGTATATGCGTAGTACTTCCTCCCAGGGACTTCATCTGGATCATTCGAGCAATTGGTCTCATCATTCATGACCAGAATCACGGGCATGTTTTGCTTGACTCGTTTTTCAGCAATCTGCCGAGAGTTGGGGTTTGCTCTTTTTTGCTGACCTTGGTTGTACTTTGGTGCAGGTGTCGCCCTATAGGATTTGACCCCCAACTTCGTAGGTTTAATGTCATGTAAACTTAATTTTGATATTTTCAATTTGTAGCCCAAATTACTATCTGATATCCCAAGGTTATTTTTGTTTTCCTTCTGAACTCTACGTATCACTTTGGGGGTCGCTACACGAGCAGGGCGATTTTTTAATTTTTTGAATTCAGCATTCCTCCTCCCCTCATACATATCTAAAACTCTGCAAATTGCCCCATTATGATTTTTTTCTTTTTCGAAGTGGCTATTAACCATTATCCGGATGCGCTCGCACACTTTTTCGTAGTAGTGGCAAAATTTTTTTGCGAGTTCCTCTGAATTTTTTGTTCTCATTTTTGAACTAATCGAGATATCGACTTCCGGTTTTCTGATTTGGATAGTCAATCGCATGGACTACAAAACTACCGCGTTCCAACTCAGTGACAATTTTTCTTTCAGACAAATAAATATACTTTTTCAAGTGTTTCTTTACTTTCCGACCGAATCCTAACTTACCCATTGTAACGAGCAGAATGTTAATGTACATTCTTATTAATTAGATTGATATAATTAACTTATAATTGGTCGTGTTATTTGCGTACATGTAACAAGAATTATGTATAAACAGATGGCGGATATGTGCATACATCTTTGCGGAAAATCGGGGAAACATGTATTTTTTTAACGAGCACGTTTCGTTGGGAACGTGCCATCAAACTTTTCATCTGCACTGCCAGACAAAGGAGGACAAAACTGGGATGTTGTAAGTATGTAAGGATACTTATTAACTCACTAATAAAAATTTGAACCGCCTTATTTATAAGATCGTTGCAACTAAATTATAATTGGTCACGTTATTTATGCACATGCAATTGTCTACAATTCCTGGACATGTACATATTAATCTGTAGTTACGAAAAAATCGCTGAAATGTGTTTGTCTTTTGTACTACAAGCCGGAAATATCTATCGGAAGTGAAAGTAGTTTTCCGAAACCGAAGTGAAAGTAAAGAAAGTCGAGTTTCGAGTGACGCAAAACAAAAATTCAAATATCAGAATGTGGGATATTCTTTATGGCGTAGTTCGTGGTCTGAGGGTTATCTGTGCGTGGTGGTTATCTGGGTTAGGTTAACCCCCAATATTTCAATATGTAAAAATATGTACGGATATTTTGAAACTTTTTTGATCTACTTATCTATCAGAGTTAGTGAACACACCTACAAAGTTTGACGGTCGTTCATGCTCAAACGAAAAAGTTGAAAGTACATAAATTCATACATTTCCGCCCTTTGATCACAAACGATCATACTTTCTCTGTAAAATAAAAACTTGAAAATATGGTGTTCTTTCCTTAAACAAATCGAAAATTTTCTGAACAATGCTAACCTGAATTTCTAAAACTTGGCGTGAAATCACCTACCTGTTGTACATTAACACATCCGGTTTCCAAATCCTGTGTGGCGGGATGCGTAAATTCGTCATGTTTCCGTAATCGCTTTCATTCCAACTTAAATTCACATCGTTCCATTCCTGCGGCGGAAGAAAAGGGAGTCAAACACGCCATTTTCAAAATGCATTTATTTATTTAAAGGGGCGAAAGAAGTTGTTGTAAAAAAGAGTCACGTACCAAATTGAGCCACGTATTCGTTATAAGTATTTGATTTTTCTCATCCTGCAAATATTTACACACATGGAAATTTTAGATTTGGGGAATTTCGAGCTTTAAAATTCTGAAAACAATACTTTTTAGGAGGAAGAGAAATGTAAATTAAAGGGTGAAAATAAGCGAAAATTCAAGTGTTGTAAATATGTATGCAAGATTCTAAATCTTTTGGAAACCCTAGTTAAGTAAGCATTTTGAAAATTGAAATTTCAGTTCTGCCCCAATTTCTGAAAACCTTGCTTTCAAATGAAGCTGAAATATAGAAAAACTTAAGATGTGAAAATATGGGTGAAATTCGAGCTTGAGATTTTTAAAAAATTCTCAAAATTTTGAAAAAATTCGTGATTCTAAAATTCTTGGATATTTTTTAATTATTTTGAATATTGAAATTTCAATGATGTCCCAATTTCTGAAAACATTGCTTCTAAATGAAACTAAAAGAAAACCTCAACTAGTTTCATAACCTTCAAGATTTATAAAATGTTCTCAAAATTTACAAATGTTTCATAATTCTAAACCTCTTAGAAATTTTAGTTAATTATTTTGAAAATTAAAATCTCAATTTTTCCCGATTTCTGAAAACATTGCTTTCAGACAAAGAGATGCCTAAGGTGACAATGTGAGTTGAGTGAAAGTATGTAGACCGCAATTCGCTCCGCAAGTTTGCAAGAATTACAAAGTTTTCTCAGGTAACTTTGCTTTTACGAAAGTTTCGAAAACATACAAAGCAAAAAATACTTTTTCATTCGTAACCTGACCTTCTTAAGTTTTAATTTGTTTTATTGCGACAAACTCGATTTGCGTCATAAAATGGTTCGTACACAAGTTACGAAATTTATTTAGGTAGGTAACGAATTTCGTAAGTGACGTGAAAATTCACCTGTCAGGCCCTGGTAACTTTGTAAAATCCATAAATTCTGTAAACTAACAAAATTGTACAAATATTTTGAAGGAAACTAGCTTGCAAATTTTAGTAAACTTACACAGATCAGAGGCGTTTATTTTGTGTGTAAAAGTTTGAAAAATTATTTTACAAAATTTATGAATGTTACAAAGTTAGCAAGAACTGTGTGAATTTCCGTATTATTTATTTCATGTAAAATTTGCTTTTGGGGGTATTCACTCGTTGTTCGTGCAGTGTGTAAAAAAAACTTAACGCAATTCACGCATGGCTTACTAACATGTTAGTAAGCCATGCGTGAAGTTTAAAGAATTTTACGAATTTTACACTGTTATAACAGTGTAAAATTCGTAAAATTTTTTAAACTTCCAAACTTTTACAAAATTTCACAAACATTTCAAAGGAAATTTGCTTATAAATTTTGGAAAACCTACTCAGATTAAGGAAGTACGTATTTTTCTTTTATAAAGTTTGCAAAATGATTTCACAAAATTTCCCGATTTTACAAGGTTACCAAGATCTACGTCAATTGCCTTAATTAAGAAATAATTTTATGTATCTGGGACACAATATCGTCACCATTTCTGCCTAATAATTTGCAATGTTTGCCTTCAAAAAGTTGCTAATAAATATTAAAAGTTACACATTTTGTTCATTCTCTTTAATGGAAAAAGCTTGTAATTTCCCAGTAAAGTTTGCTGTTTTGCAAAATAGTAAATCTGTATGCGGAACGAATAAATCCATTAAAGATGAAAATTCAATTTGCCCTAAATCTAATCAGTTATGGCGTACGGAACAATATTTTTGCCTCCACGATGAGGATGAAAGGGCAATTTTAATTAATTATGAGTGACACTAATTACTTACCAAGTCAATTATCTGCATCAAAGTTAAGCCAAAATTGAGCACGAGTGGACTAGACTCGTTCGCTACGGGTCGTTCTAACGAGTTATATCTGTCAAATAAATCACTCAATAATCGCCGCTCGTTGGGACCTTGCAGAGATTCTGTGAAGGAAAAAAAGATGAAATTTATTAGTTTTAAGTTGAAATTATTAATAATTTTCACAAGATTTTGAAAATTTTGGAACGATTTTCAGGCAAAAGTTAATCAGTTTTTACTTGCAATTATTATTTACTTGCATAAGACTTTACGAATTTTATTTCAAAATTCGTAAAAACTTCATTTAAAAAAGTTTGAAAGGATTTTTAAAGAACTTAAAGAAATCAATTTGTTTTTATTCGCAATTAATATTTTTTTGCACATGATTTTGGGAATTTTGGAAAGATTCTTTGAGATGGAAAAAATAATGAAATCAATTAGTTTTTATTGCCAATTAAAATTTAATTACACAAGATTTTGCGAAGGTTGCAAAGATTCTTTTGAGGGAAAAAGTAAAGAAATCAATTCGTTTTCATTTGAAAAGTTCTGCAGTTATTATTTGCACGGGATTTGCGAACTTTTTGACATCAATTTTATTGAGCTGTTTGAAAAAAGTTAAGGATAAGAGGTTTTAATTGTACATACTCATTTCTAATATGCAAATGAACTCGACACCACTCAACTAACGAAACGACGTAATTTTGTCTCCTGCCAAATTAAGGTTGAAAAATTACAACTTTATTCAGCCCGTGTTCCCACCGAAGTGAATTTGACGTGAATGTGCCAATTTTCATAAATTCTATTGTATGCATGACGCCGACGACAATATCTGCGTAGTCGTAGCGCAGACAAACTTTGTCCATTAATATCGTTCAACTTCATGGACTTTTCCCCAGACGGGGACCCTCCGAGTTTGCGAGCTCAGGAGGCGAGAAGGATTACAATTTTAGTCTATCGGTGTCTATGCATGGATGTAGTTTGTATGTATGTATGTACAAGGTGCAGGGTGGGTGTTAGTTTGTCGTATTTGATTAGGTCGGGGCTCTCGAGGGGATAGGAGGCAAAGTAAATTCGGGGAGAACAGGTGTAAGGAAGGGGCGAGAGGGAAAAGGTACAAATTCTGGATTGAAAAGGCGGACAGTAATAGGATATGTAGGTTAAACAAGTACATACAAAACGTGGACACGTAAAGTATGTATGATGAAAAGACAATACATGGACATGGACAAGGCAATGACAGAGGCATTAAATGAAAACGTAGCGTTACTGCTAAAACATATAGAGAAAGCAGTCCCGAATGAAAAATGTCCAGATTTTGTCTTTTCTTTCCTGTAAAATTGTGTCCGGTTTTTTGACTGTCCATCTTCCGTATGAGAAATGATACAAAGAGTTGAAACTATGTCACTGAACGCAATTAGCTTGTGCATATATTTTTGTCATCTAAATTTATGTCCATCTTTTAGCCTGTCCATCTTTTGTTCTATCCACATTTCTTTGCCCATGTGACAGCCGGATACCCATATCCGAAGCCGAAATCAAACTAATGATTTACCTTCGATAGATTCGATATACGGATAAACCGCCGGACAGACAAATCCATCCCAATAAGTAGCTTCTCCACTTCCTCCCACTATGTACATATGTATTTAATACTTCCTACTCTCCCGAGTCTACCAACTTCTACGGTTGGCCTCCGACCTCTGTAAGTCTGCATTACGTTGAATAATAAATGACACAACTTCAACACGGCCGTTTAAAATGAGTGAAATTGTGCAGACTGAGAGTCCCGTGATTTCCGAGAAAATTTACATTTTCTTCTAAAACTTTCCAACAAAGGAGAAGAAGAAGAAGAAACAGATTTTATTGATCAAAGGTTCTGCTTTCTTTCTTCTTTGTTAGTTCAGCAGCAGCGGCGAGCAGGATATTGAGATGAGTGAAAGTTTGGTTAATTCACCCGTCAGCAAATCTTACCTCGCTGTTACCTACTTAATTTGATAGGTGTCAAGACTTCGCTTGAAAACAAAACTCGGTGATTTTGTTTTTTGTAGAAATCTACTAAATTAAAATGTTTGATGATTTTGTGATTTTTTCTCGGTATGAAAACTCTTAAAAATTATGCCACCCTTTTGAAGTGCAAATGCTTAATTTGATAAGTGTCAAAACCTAAGATGAAGACAAAACTCACTGATTTTTTTAAGGAATCTACCAAATCAAAGTGTTTCATGATTTTTTTCGCTATGAACACTCTTAAAAATAATGTTGCCCTTTTTCCAAAGTAAATGCACTCTGAATTCTAAATTAAGTAAACTATGTACACAAAATCCAGAATAAACTAGACCCTTTATCAAGTTAAGTTTGCTCTGGATTTAGAATAGTTTACTTAATTTAGGATTCAGCCGACATTTACTTTTCAAAAGGGCAACGTTATTTTTAAAAGTGTAAATCCGTGTTTCCTGCACAATAACGAAATCGAGATGAGAGAAGCTTATTCGTGGTCACGCTAAGATGTATTGATTTCACCAAAATATTTACACAACGGAGAAAATGTACTCGGAATTAGAGAAAATCAAGACCCAGCGATTTTGTGGAATCACAATTTTTTGGTAGTGAAGTCGCATTTCCTGCTGAGGAGAGTAAGTACCACGATTTCCTGAGTGTAGTACATGCCATGAATAAGTTCAAAAAACGCCACAACAAATGACATCGCTTAAACCAGGGAATGGCTGAGAAAACCGTGAAGAAAATTTTAACGCCTATACGACACAAGTTCATCAATTATTCCCAGAAGTACGTATTTTACCCTTCACAATTTGTCATTTAAATGAATAGTTGGCGACATGCCAAAAACTGAAGTGGTGTAATCAGTACTTTAAACCTTATACAGATACTTAGCTGTTACCAAACTCTATATTGAGTTTGGTAACAGCTGTATACACAAAATGGGTATACACTACATGAGAATTACAAACGTTCTTTTCGTTGGAGAAAAAAAATACTGCAACAATAAATAATGTCACAAAATAAATACCTCGTTTAAACCACAGAGCAACAAAACTCACACGGGAAAGAATGATGTTATTTTCCCTATTGAAAAGTAAATGCAGTCTGAATTCTAAATTAAGTAAACTATACAAAATCCAGAGTAACGTTAACTTTTTACTCTGGATTTAGTACAATTTGCTTAATTTAGAATTCATACAAAAGAGTAATAACATTTTTAAGAGTAAAATTCACATTTCCTGCAGCTTATGTAGAAACAGGATGAAGATTAGTCAAGTTTAACTATGTACATACTAACGTCAAAATATTAGCGCACAACTAATTTCCACCTGCAAATATTTGCACAACGGAACAATGCACTAAATTCAAAGAAAATCTACGCTCGCACTAGTACGAAATACAGCTATTTTGTGGACTCAAAAACTTTGTCATGTTTCAAAGTCGCATTTCCTGCTGATAGTACTGCATGCAAACATACAATGAATAAGTAAATAATGCCCCAACAAATGACATCGTTTAAACAGAGACAAAACCCTGAAAAAAATCTTTTCGACGCCTAAAAACGACCCAAGTTCATCAATTATTTCCAGAATTGTGTTACCCTTAACAATTTGTCGTTCAAATAAGTGGAGACATGCCAAAAACTGAAGGAGCGCAATCATCGTCTTCCCAAAGCTTAACTTATATATCCATCTCACTTACTCACTTAGGTAACTAAGCTTCTGTCGCCAAATTCTGCTTAGAATGAGAATTGGACACGTCCCTCTCGTTTAATGGACGGATCCACACAAAAGAAGACCACAATAAATAATGTCACAATAAATGTCGCCGTTAAAACGGAAGAAGTTGAGAAAAACCGATGAAATTCGTCTCAACGCGAACGACACCAGTTAATCAATTATTTCCACAAATTCCTTACAACTTTCTCTTTTGAAAGAATCTCAATCGGATAATCATTGGCTTACATAACTTCACAATTCTGTATTACCAAATTCTGCCCTGAACCAGAACTACATACACGTTCATACTTTTCATGACAAAAAGAACACAAAAATAAATAATGTCACAATAAATGACATCCTTTAAACCGACAAAAAACCATGAAACGCGTCTACGACATCTGTTAATCAATTACTTCCACAAATTCTTTACAACTTTCCTTTTAATAGAATCTCAACCAGATAATGATTACCTCATGTTACATAAAATTGCAATATTACCAAATTCTACTCAGAATGAGAGTTACACACGTACCCCTTCAGTAGTGTAAAGCGAAAAACGACCATATCCCAATAACGTTGCCATAAATGTCATCGTTTAAACCGAAAAGAGTGACAAAAAAGTAATAAAACTCGTCTTCACGCGAACGACATCAGTTAATCAATTAAATATTTCCTGAAACCCTTTACCACCTCGTTAAACAGAATCTCAACCGGATAATCATTTCCTCAGGTTACAAAACTTCTCAGGATGTGCCAAATTCTATCCAAAATGATAAGTACACACGTACCACTTCCATTTAAATACAATAAAAAACGACCACAATAAATAATTTCAACGCTTAATCCGAACAAAATTATTTAAAAAACATGAAATTCGTCTTGTTAATCAATTTTTTCCAAAAATTCTTTACCATCTCATTTACATAACCAAATCTGCCTCTTAGAATCATTACCCTTACATAACTTTACAATATTACCAAATTCTACATACCAAAATGTTGAATACATACCTTTCGGCAAGGAAAAGACGACGACAAACAAGGTAAAAAATGTTCTTCCATCCGCCTGTGAAATGATTATCATCCTGCCCGAAGGACGATTCCGTGGGGAGGAGGACAGCCAAGGGACGAATTTGTTCTAAGGTGGGTTTTCAATTTTACAGGGCAAGAAGCTCAACTAACCAGCCGTACCACGTTCCACCGCTATTTACGAGACGAACCAACTGGTCTCTCGACAATTAGAGGCATCATCTTCTCCTCCGTCTGCTGCCTAAACGGAGCAAATAGGTAAGTAAGTAAAAATGAGCAAACATTTATTTATTGATTTCAGCTTGGTTCAAAATTCAATTTCCTTCTCCCACGCAATACTAAATTTTGGGTTGGGAGGAAGTGAAGGTAATAAAAATAGTGGATAGGTTAGAAGTGAAAGTCAAAAATAGTCGATTTGCCGGAAGTGAAAGTAAAAAATGGTCGATTTCAGGGGTCAAAGTTCAATTTCTTTCGACTAGAATGAAATATGTAGTTTATTAGTTAGAAATGAGAATGAAAAGTAATCGATTTTTGAGGAAATGTAAATAAAAATTGTCGATTAATCGGAAGTGAAAGTAAAAAATAGCCAATTTCGGGTTCAAAATTCAATGGATTTCTCTCAAAAACGTTTATTGGTTCGAAATAAAAATAAAAAAATAGTCGATTTCAGAAATGAAAGAAACATAGTTAATTAATCAGAAATGAAAATAAAAATAGTCTACTATTCAAAAGTGAAAGCAAAAATTGTCGATTTCATCCTCAAAATTCGATTTATTTTTCTCCCACCCAAAAAACCGTCTATTACTCCCAAATCAAAACCAAAACCGTCTCTTAATCGAAACTCAGAGCAAAAAAATATTCCCACCGGCGCTTCCCACAAGCTCGTCACGGAGACAGAAAATCGTTCAATTTCTTGTCCCAAAATCTTCTTCACCCGAACAAAATATGGACACTTTTTCCTTCTTTTTCCTCCTTCTAAAAATACAACTTTCCCCAAATTTAAATAAGCACAACCTCCCAGATTGACAATTGAATATGTATGTATCGGGCTTTAATCCAATTTAATACGGGGCACGTTGTGCATGCAAACTATTGACTGCAGGGGGAGAAAGTTTTTTCCTGGAGGAGGACGTGGTCTCGCCACGGATTTCTGTCCTACACTGCAGTGCAGAAGTGAAAGTGGTGGCATTATATCATGCGTTAAAAGGATGGGGTAAGTCTCAATTGAGGCAACTTTCTCCTGGCAATGCTGCAGCAAAGCGTTGTGGGATAGAAAGAAAAAGATAGCGGAGAGACGTGGTGGTGGGTCGGATGGAAATTCTGTGAGGAATTTGGTACATTTGGTGGGTCTCTGTGGTGGTGGATGAACAGAAGAGACCAGACCAGAGGAGAGAAGCAGTGGCTCTTTTTTTATTTTATATCATCCGTCGGTCTCTTCTCTTCACTGGATCGATTTACTTTCCCCACTCCGACTTTCACTCTGTGTCATTCCTCTCTTTCTCTCTTGTGAAAGAGAAGAGAGAGAAAGAGAGCGAGTGGTTTGTGGTGGGGGTATGCACGTGTAGATGGATAGGTTTATGAGAAAAAGAGAGTTAATGAAAAAAATTTGCAGGCGAATTAATGAATGCAAATATTTTTGCCAACGTTTAGCCGGCGTGGTTATAGATGATCGGGGTGAAAGTGGGAGTGAAAGTTGCGTACATACTACTGGTGATATGTACATGATTTTGGCATAGCTGCGGCAGGGAAAAGGCATTAATGGAAAAATTTGCGGAAAAATTCATTAAATTTGCATTCATACAGATATGCAAGGTTGAGGAGGCTGGATATCAATATGAATATAATTGTGGTGAAAGTGAGAGTGAAAACTGCGTAGTTATGATACATAATTTTGGCATAGCTCAGAAATCGCACAAATTGAGAATATTGAGCGACATGATATGGAACGTATGTACCAATTTTTTAAAAGAAATTTGAAACAGCTTGAAACTTTGTGGCTTGATTTACATTAAATCTGCTAAACGAATCATGCACATGTACATACATACATATTTTGATATCGTGTACGTAAATGTGTCTTATACATACACGTTTCGCAAGATTATTTCGCAACCGATATACTTATAAAGCAACTCCCGCAGTCCTTGGTAACACTATGAAATCCGTAAATCTTGTAAGCAAAATTCACTACAAACCATTATAAAATTTTGCATTTCTAACATTCATTTCTAACATTTGCATTTCTAACATTTCTAAACATTTCTGACAAAAATTAGCTTTCAAGTTTCTGTAAACTTGGTTAGATCAACGTCTCTTGGATTTGTAAAAGTTTTCAAAACTATTTTGCAAAATATACCGATTTACCAAGTTACCAATTACAGTGTGGATTACCTACTGTATTTTTGGCGTTAATGTAAACAAAAATTGCTTAGAAAACGACAAAACCTTCCAAAATTCGTGCATGGACATACCCAGGAAATTGGCACATTTAAAATTCTCCAGTTTTTCCAATAATCTTCTAAAAAAAATTATTGACTTGACTCCCCCCAAATATTTACGTATACAATTTGGCCCCAATAAAATAGCTCAATTTTATTTTACGACGTCCTTTTGTAGATTTATGGTTCAAATTTGACGTGAATTCGCCCAGTCTGCATACTAAAATTTGTGCTGCTCTTTGCTGCTTGAGCTTCAAGGGGGACGCAGGATAACTTTCTCCGTATCATTATCCATCTCCTAATGGACTGCCACGCTCTTTTTCCGACCACCACGACACACAACCTGCCTACGAGTTAGATGAGATGAGAGGCAGAGAGGTACAGAAGAAACACACTTTTATCCGAATTTATTGCTGGGTGGAGACTTTTAACATAAATTGTGTCTTACCTTCTTCTTCTGCTGCTTCTTCTGGTGGAATCATGAATTAAACATAATTTTTAACTAGGATGGCAAAGTTTGTTTTGAGGGGGAGAGAGATATCTATATTTTTTCTGGGGAGGAGAGCAGAACACTGATGGAAATCTGGTGGTAATCAGGGGAAGAGTGCTTTTTGGGTGTAAAACTGCTATTAAAAAGGGTATTAAATTAAATTAAATAAATTGGTATTAAAATTATATGGGTTCAAAGAAATTTGGTATGGATATGGTAAAACTTTAATACTGAGCTATATATTACTGCATCGTGTTACAGGACAATTTGCTTTCTCAATGTTGAAGTTCTTAAAGTTGCACCGTTTGGTAATAAGGTTCGCAAAAATTTGATACCGATATGGTAAAACTTTAATAACTAGGTGTTACTACACAGTGTTGCTTATCAATACCACTTTTGGTAAAGTCAGAAAAGTATTAATGCAGCTTCGTATTATGCAAATACTGGATTTCTAAGAGTGTATCGATGACGGGAAATATGTATCTAGTTGATTGCAAAGATAAAATTCACGACTCACAAAATTATTAGCGTCGCTGTGAAAAATCTGGTATTAGTTTCTTGGGATTAAATTATTACGGCGTGGTATTAACAGTTCACGTTCATTTACTTAACATAATAAATAAATTATGCATTCATTATTAAATAAATTCATGAATAAAATGAGTGAATAATTTTTAGAAATTTGTGAATGAATGAAACTTCAATAAAAATATATTCCTTTCATATTCATGAAGAGTGAGTGAATAATTTTAGCCATATTTAATTCAGTTTTTACACTCTTAGAAACTGGGTATTGATCCTTGAAAATTTTTAATACCGTCGTGCTGGTATCATCACTCAGTCACGATTCGGTATTAAGATGTTGCGAAAAATCAATACCACGAGCTTGTACTTGGATAGTATTAATTTGTAATACCGAGTTGGTAAAACATCAATACTTACTGGTACAGATTTTATACCACGTTTACCCAGTCTAAAATCTGTCCGGTATAGACTCGTGTGCGGGATTTGCAAACTACTCACTTGCAGTTGCAAATCGTCCTCTTTTTAAAAGTAAGTTCTTCTAAATTATTTCGGCTGGTGAATTAATTGAGGGGAAGAAATTGACTACATCCAATGGAAACTTTGACTCGTTAAATTTGATTCTTGTTAAAGGGTAAGCATAAATTTATTCTTTCTTTTCGTTTTATCTTTTGCTGTGTATTACATTAATAGGGAGGATTTTAAACCACCAATTTCGTTATATTTTCTGCATTATATTAATTAACTTAATTTTTTTTATTTTGCGCGAGATCATCGACTTAACCAATTCCTAGTTCCGGTCGTGAATATAGGATTCAGGATAATTTTAGGTTTGTGATAACATTTACAAATCAGATCGACAGTTTAAATTAAATTAGACGTGTGTACATATTCTAAGATTTCAAATTTCAACTAATTGACAAATTGTTTTTCACTTATTTCAGTGGGACATTTCCTATGGAATTAAGAGGTAAGATAATTTTAAATGGAAAAATATATAAAAATAACTGCCTCAATGTGTGAATTGTTTACATAATTTATTTTTTAAATTACATAGGCTTTTAGATCCAGTCAGCTCAACTTTTCAACATTATGGTGTGTAAGCCAGTTTTATAATTAAGTTAACTATATTGCATTGGGCTGATTTCCATTTTTTTTAAATATGTATGTCATTTATAATGTTGCGACTTGTAATTTTATCAAATAAATAACGTTAAAATCAATACCAAGCAGTGCTAAACCGTTATTTTTCTTACTGCATGGTATCAATCATCAATACCGTATTTAGTCTTTTAATACCGCTGCATCCTAGATTTATACCATTCGGTATTAATAAACAATACCACCAGGAAAAAAAATCAATACCGCAAGTGACGTTTTTATACCGTCACGGTATAAATCCAAAATAATACCGCTTGGTATTAAATCAATACCAAAACGGTAGAGTCACATATGAATACCGCGTGGTATTGATCTGGTATTGATTTTTCTAAGAGTGTACGCTATACATAGAACATGAGGTATGTTGAGAAACCCATCTATCCGACGGATTTTTGATAAGATGAATAAAAATGAACAATGAATAAACATTTATTTTAAATTTGTCAGTTTTACATATGAATATTAAATGAAAAATAAATTTTCTTTAACATACAACTTATTAAAATTGGGCATACTGGTCGGTAAAAAAAATGCTACCGAAATAGCAAAATTTTAATACCAAGCTATTTGTACATGGTATCACTTATTAATACAACTTACTTTTCTTATGAATTATTTATGAATACCGCTTGTTATTATTATAATAATACCGCATTTCCAAGAGTGCAATCCTCCCTAAAATCCAATCCGGGCTTTTACTTTCATAAGAATTTATGGATTTTCGCTGCGGTCAGTTTTCTGTAGGATTTATGTATCAACGGCATAATGAAACTCACATATTTATGGCAAAACCGCTTTCAACAGCAGAATGCTCCCCAAAATGAAATGCATACATAAATTATCTGCGTATGCATGTCTTTTACATTTCTGCATGCATATGATTTATGTATGGCGAGCATAATGAAATTATTTAGGTTCATATGTACACACATATAACAAGCTAATATTTATCTTATTTCTCTGTATTAAAGGTATGTAAATATGTATGGTGGAAAAGGAAATTGAATACAAATCAAACAATGTGAAAACGAGATATTTATGTAAATTTGTCTGTATTCATTTTGAGTGCACACGGCAAGAACCACTAAACCTAATGAATAAGTAAGTACTTACCGGCCATAAATTCGGCTAAATCTAAGAGCATCTTGGATTGTCGGAATTAAGCACTCTTAAGAATAAGGGGACCCTTTTGAACAGAAAATTCACTCTGAATTCTTAATTAAGTAAACTATAAATGCTCAATCCTGAGTAAACTTTACACTTTATCAAATCAACGTTATTCTGAAATTAGTATAGTTTAGTTAACATAAAATTAAGGGTGCATTTAATGCCCAAAAAGGTAACATTAATTTTAAGAGTGTGGAGAAAATTTGTAAATCCAGGGTACCATGAACTTGATAAGCAGTAAAGTTTGCTCAGGATTTAGAATAGTTTACTTAATCTATAAATTAAGTAAATATACTCTTAATTCTATAGGATTCAGGGTGAATTTACTATTTTTAATAGGGTAACACTATTTGTAAGAGTGTTCCTTAGAAATCTTAGAAATGAAATGTTAATCTACTTATGAAATCGTAATCCATGAAATTGAACTGGAGGAGTCTCATCTGGAAGAAGGGACTTTCCACCATTTCATGCCTTTTATTCTCTCTTCTCCTTTGTTAGCAAAGCTGAATGAGTGGCCCCTCTGGAGAAGAGTTCATTAAATGTGTAAGAATTTTATTTATGCAGGCATTACCTTATTTTGGTCACCAACGTCGGAATGCATTAGCAAGCAAAATTAGAATTGACGAACAAAAACTGATTTATCAATTATACTTTAAATTCATTCATTTCACTTGGAAATGAAATGCTAAATTTTGAAAGTCATTTTCAAAATTTTGGTGTACATAAAAAGAAATTATATTGATGAATAATTGTGAAGGTGAAATAGTTTTATGTACATATGGAAAAATATGTCATGAATTCTACTGCAATTGGCATCAGCTCGGGAACGTCCATAAATTACGTCACCAAAAAGATAGATGGGTTGTTTTAGATCGCTATCTTACTAATGTTAAGCGTAACATGAGTAGGATAGGGAACAGGTGGGCGGGTGGTCCAAAAATCAGTGCTATTTTAATCACATAATTTGTGAATGTTCCCCTCCTGTTTCTTCTAGCTTACAAAACTCACCAACATTTCGAAGGAAAGTAATTTGTGTTAAAAAACCTCACATGGCTAAAAGCCACCTGCGTACATACCTCGTACAATAAATTCGTAAAGTCACTTTCACACATAAATTTTTTATTTCCCCGAATTCAATTCACCTCAAAAGGTTCGTAAGTACATATACGTTACGAAATTTAAGTTACGTAATAAAGCAGCATAAATATTTATCTTCGCTCCCTCACATAAATAAGTAATTCCTTTAATTTCAAGACTATCCCCGTTTTTCGTTAAGTGTAAATTAGCCTTAAAATGTAATGAGTTTTGAAGGGGTGTCATTTTAAGAAGTTTTATTGTTCCAAGTGAGCTGTTATTTACTGAAAGATTATATACTTTACTCTTAAAATGTAACAATAATAAATCCATACATATATCGAAACAAAACATACTTTTCTTAAGAGGATGATTCTTTATTTACAAATAGCCATGTTGTTTTGCTATATACATATGTAATCCATCGAAAATTTATTGCCACCTCATTCATGACTTGGTTAAACTTTACGGTTTCGCGTAAAGTAGAACCAGAGATAAATTTAAGCAATTGTTTTAAAACTTCCAACACTTAAGAGGTACCCACATACTATTTTACACTACCGTCGACGTTATCACTCTCATTATCAATAGTGGTATACAATCGTAATAGTGTTGCAAAGTTATGCTCTTGGACTAAGCACTCTTAAAAGTAATGTTACCTTTCTGAAAGTAAATGAACTCTGAATTCTAAATTAAGTAAACTAAACTAAACCCAGGGTAAAGTTAACTAGATGAAGAGTAAAGTTTACTCATCGTTTAGTACTGTTTAAGAGGGTAGAGTTACTTTTTAGAGTTAATTCGAATAGTAACAGAAAATACTACCAAATGTTCTTTATTAATGTTTTTCACGTTCCTGGATTCGATTCAGTGCTTCTCTCGTTTTCATAACTATTCCCTTGCATCCCAAAAATTTTTTAAACTCTGCAATCCCTCGGCGATGACCGGCTTCCCCACTGATTGTTGTACACGCATCCTATTACATGGTAAAAAATTGGTCAATTTTTTTAGGATTTAGGGGACAAGTCCAACTTAAAAAAGGTTTCAAATTTATAAGAGTATTGCTGATGGCATATTACACTCTTAGAAATCGAGTATTAAAATAATACAAAGCGGTATTCACATATCACTCAACCAAAGTGGTATGAATAATTAATGCTGTGTAGCGATACCTCGGTATTAAAGTTCAAGTTTAGCAATTTTTTAGCGACCGGTACAATTTTACTGCCAAACGGTATGAACTTAAATACTGAGAAATCAATACTTGCGCGACTACATATGTACATACATATACCACATTTCTAAGAGTGAGGATACATAGTTACTTATTTTTCATGGAATCCCGTTTACATTTAAGGCATGTCCCAGGTTTGGTTAGACAGTTGGATCATATGGTATACTGCGCAATTAGTGGAAACTGTTGCTTAGCTTTCTTAGTTTTTTGAAACGCAATTTCAAGGGCTTCCAGCAGGTGTAAAGTATTTTTTATTAAAAAGGCGAAATTCAATAGAAATCTGGGTCAAAATCTGGGTCACTTGCGAATCGAGTTTTTCAAAATTGTCGCTTGACGTGAGTCGAACATGACGTGCCAATACTTCAACGCGGAAATATGTCACAAAATGGCAACGTACCTTTATATTTCGAAGTATGAGGAAGCTATAAATGTAGACATTTATTTATTTATTTACACTATTTAGGAGCTATCAATTAGTTCATTGAGTAATTATATGTGATGAATACTAAACACATTGGATGAATAGGACGAACAGCAAATGTATTGGATGAATAGGGCGAAGAGCAAATACATGTAATGAATAGGGCGAATAGCAAATGTATTGAATGAATAGCAAATGCTCATTTGGCCACTGCTCAAATGGCCAATGCTTCAATGGCCACTGCTCAAATGGCCACTGCTCAAATGGCCACTGCTCAAATGGACAACACTTATTAATACATAGAAACTCACAATATAAGAGTGATCACGTACACATTTATGTAATGTTCTATATCTAGTAATAGTTACTTGTTAAGATCTAGTATTTAAAGATTGGTATTGTATTAATTCGGGAGAGTCTTCGGTTGATCTTCAACTGAGGCGGAACTCTTCGGGAGGACTCCAGCTTTAACTAAATAAAATATTTCTTGTTCCTGTTTAAACTACAACTTGGTCACACCGCCCATTATTCCACATACGGGAAACATTACGGCACACCCACCATTTCTTAGAAGACTCAATTACTCTAGGCTAACCAATTAACAGAAGGACGGCCCTTGGAATCCCAGCAGGATTGGTTTGTATAAGAGAATAAGGCATTTTAAGGCATTTATTTAATAGTCAAATAGCGTTAAGGTAAAAAGTAGAAATAAGGCTAGGCTGGGACCCTTGCAAAGCCAAAAAGTGCGCTTTTTAAAAATTTACAGGCCACCTCTATTCATAGCCACCTATCAAAACTCCAAAGACATAAAAATACTTTTCCGCACTAACTCTTCGACGTAAATTAGTGTCGCTGCTCGGGTACGGCTATTTTCAAAATCTTTGTTCCACAACATTTAAGTTCATAAACTGAGGATTACGAAAAAAAATAAACAAAGTCTCCCAAAGAACATTAAGGACCAAGAAAGCAAAGTACAAAAAAATTATAAAAAATAGTGTCGATGAATGTCATTAAAAATTATCGATATTTATGACGGACACTTCGGCAAAGTTGATCTCTTAGAGACTCCGGGATTGAAATTTTTTCGCTCCGCCAATCCCTCTGACGTGGAATATCAACGTGAGTTTAAAGTGAAAACCAAATTCCTTGTGAAATTCCTAGTTTGGCTACGGCCGGGCAGTTTTGGCAACATTTTGTCAGCTTATATTTGTAAAGGTACCATAAATACAAAAGTTAACAAAAACGCGTTTTTGAAGCGGTCACAGCTCTGGATAAGGAAACTTCGGAATGAAATTTGATTTTTTCCGGACCTCGCAACCTCCCAGTACGCCAAAATTTGAACCCCGTACTTTGGGGCTCATGGAGTCGAATTTGTGCTTCAAAAAGATTACCCCTCAAATGCCCCTCAATTGTAACCAATCGAAAAGTTTTATGCCTTTTGCAAAACAAGGTACTCTAACCTAAACTCCAATGCGAAAAAGCTGGAAGAATTCAAACGTTAGTGGCGAAAAATCTGCCAGGACATTTCGCAAGCGGGTGGAAAATCGATATTTTGAGGGTTGGTGCGGAAATTCGTATTGGTGGCCAAGAAGGGACTGAGGCAAATTCTCCGCAACAAAATCTGACGGCCATGGTTCCCAACTACTCTACCCCAAAGGTTTTATAAAAATATTCTAACCAGGTCGAAAACCACAGGTCATAGATGACTGTCTAACTTTCCCTGGGACACGGTATACCTACTTACATTATACATCTTTTGTACTTACCTGAATCAGCCAAACTTCATACCCTCGATAAAATGCGTCCAACCCGGAAGCGAAGACGCAATAATCCGTATTAATTCCGGCAAGCATGACCACCCCGACATTTTCGGGGGCCATCAGGTTGTCCAACTCTGCCCCGTAGAACGCCGAGTATTGAACCTTTTTCACAAATGTGGATAATCCTGGTAACTTGGTTATCAACTCGGCACACAGTTCGGTCCCCTTCCTTCCTGCGATACCAACGCCGGGATAAAGTTCGTGCAGGGATGAATTGTCAGCAGGGCTGATCCAGAGACGTGAGTCAAAGACGCGTTCCTTTGGCAGAGCTTGGGCTAGCGAGAGGATGTGCGCATGCCCAGGCCACGACGTGATTATGGGGGTCCCGTCTATGGCGGATTAAAGAATTCTTATAAAGTGCTATGAAAATACCTATGTACATAAATACATATCGATATTCAGGGTATTCGCACTTGTTTTCGCATCCTTAATATCATAAACTACATTACGAAGGAAAACCGAGGGTTCAAGCTTCGTAAAAATTGTAACCTTAGTAACGCGATTTTTGCTGAGAAAATCATACTCCGCTTGCAAAATCTCGTAACCGTCATAACTTATTTTGCGATACGAAGAATACTAAAGATGCGAAGAACTAATGGATACAATTTTGTATGTAAAAAACGTATCAAAAAACTAAACGACGCGTATGAATTTAGCAAAAATTGAAAAAAATTTTGTACAAATGTCCTTCTTTTTTACTTGAAATGTTAACGTATATACGTTTTTATACATTATTCGTATTTATAGGCTATTTACATACTTACTTGGATGGAACTGTTCCTGTGCCATGTCGATAATTAGGAAGGCAATGTTTCTCTTTGCTACTGCCATATTTATTGAGCACTATAATTACAAATGTACACAATTTAGCAGTCCATATTTAACAAAATTTGATTTACTTTGCACAAAGTTTTACTAAATTCGCTCCAATGTTGACATGACTACAGCTGACTGAGAAAAGGAATGATGAAAAAAGCAAATACGTAAACAAGTTTGCAGATCTGTTGCTTTGATTGCATGACATAACCAACCCGAATATTGCGTCGAACTCTGCAATACTCGAGGAAAGCTCGATGCATAGTTTTTTTTTTACATAATCCTGCAGAAATTTCAATTAGTTTTATTTTGCAGACTGGTATGCGAATAATCCTCCTTGTTTCTGCTGACCCCTACTTTAATTCCTTAATTCCTTAGTAACTTTGAATTATGTATGTGTTACAAAATTGCAGCATTGCATAAGCTTGTTTAAAAAAATAAGTATTCATAATTTGCCTGAACGCGAATTAAGTTGGTTAGACAAACAAATTACTCAAATAATTAGTACTATAAAGATGAAGGTTATGCTAATAATTGAGTATATTTGTACATATATCTAGACATATTTACATACATATTTATGTATGCAAGTATGCATGCAATTGCATACATACGTAAATAACTCCATATTTGCATAGGAATTTATTGACTCAAATGCGCGTCAGTAGACACAATTAGTTATTTTCGTACACACCTATATATTTATTTACGTGAAACCAGAGGATTTTTCAAAATTCTCTCATAAGCGAAATATTAAACTATTAATACTTCACTTTAATCAAAAATTCACAACCTTCCTAACAATATCGTAAAGAAGTGAAGAAGATATCAAAATGTTCACATTTAGTTGATTTATCGGGTAAAATACAAAGCCGTGAAGAAAAAGTCAATGTTAGTGTTGAAAAGTGAGCTTTTTGGTCAAAAACTACCAACGTTATGGGCTACATACCACGTTCTGTGCATAAGTATATGCAAATTTATACATATTAATGTACACTTATACATATGTGGTAGAACCCTTTACAGTATTTGCTAACTTGTATGACTTCAATTTTGATTCCTGAAGTACATACTGACTTTACAGGTAGGGAACTAAAATTGCAGGATTCCATAAGCTTGTGATCGGATTTAAAACGAAATAAGTTTTCATAATCTTGAATTTTGTGTAATCATTAGTATTTGTAAATGAGGATAATAAATGCTTATTATTATTATTATAATTTATTTGAATTCAAATTATGAATTTGACAATTAAGCAGCCTCAAGCTTTCAACGCAAAATGTACATTCTTACCTGGCTCTAGGATAATCACTATTACAAATAATTATGTATGGCAATAATTGCACTCTGACAAAGGTATAATTTCAAGCATACATGCATTTGCATATTTATTTTCTGCAGTCACAATTAAAATAATTTAAAAATTGGGGCTGTTGCAATGCAACAAACTAAATAATTGTGACTTGCTTGGGCTAATGCCTCTTGTTGCATTATTATGTAACATATTTTCATTGCATGCATACATTTTGATTTATTGATCTGCGCGTTATTTGAAATCGTCGGTTTTGTGCATACACATATGCAGATATTTATATTTAATGTGGAACCAAGTGATCAAGTCGTACATCTATATTCCCAAAACTACCCAGCTTCCAAGTTGGTTTTGGAATTTCATAGCTCCTGCATTACTTTCCTCGTCAATAAATATGTGGCACGTCGAAGGTACTCGTCACTTTCGCGCTTGTATAGCATCCATTAAACTAAACTCGCTACGATCCACATATTTCCTTGAGTGGGACAGCAAAGTTGGAAATGCCATCCCGAAGAAATCTTCATCCCGGCAATATCGGGCTTTTTAGTCGTTCACCCTAATTTCTACGCTGATTGTGCAACCCATATTTTTCCTGCGGTGTTATCAAATCTCCAAATCCCCACCGGGGTCAGTCACCTTGATTGCGTACTACATTAACGTCATTGGCACCATTCTCGCCTTAGTTGCTCTCCCATTGCTATGGTTTTTCGCGAAGGAATCAAACTTGCAGAAATTTGTGACATGTTTTCACGAGGTGCTGAATTTAGATAAGCGATTTTACGGTAAGTTCATTTCACCAGCATTCCTAATAGGTTCGTAGCTAAACTCTTTAAAATCCTGGCTGCGAGATAAAGTTTCGTTTCGGATTGCCGAATTTCCACAAATCGGTTTCGGAACTTTCGGCATTTATAACGTGTCGTTTTCTAAATAATATTGTACGAATTTCTTCCACCAGACATTCTTCCCCAGCCTGTCGTGCCGAAATCAACAAACTTTTTCCGAAATTTAAACACAGTATCAAATATGGCTAATCTCACCACCTTTATGGCTACCTGCTACTCACCAGTGATCACAACCTGGATATCATTCACTGACAACGCCCCACTCTATGGATTTGCCTTATACGTGTTGAAAGTCACGAGTTTAAATTTCACCTTTCGCGTAGTAATTGCGACCTTTGCCAGTATAACTTTTAACATATTCGCGTCTGTAATATATCTCTCCGCCTTAGTAGAAGCCAGTGGCATAGTGGTCCTGAATGTTTGGACTAAAATCCTATCAAAAGCTGACATTTCTTTCAGCGAAACGATCCAAATTTATAATCAGCTAAAAGTGATGACCATACTGATGCAGGAAATAGGGCAAGATCTAGTCTCAGTATGCCTCCACCACGCCTTCGCCGTGATAATGTCAACCAACGCGATGTACCATTTCGTTCTGCAGTTTACTTCGGGTAGAGGCATGTCCATTTTGGTCACATATACGTCCCTTGTCACGCTCTTTGCTGCAACAGGGATTGAAATGTTGGCAATTTGTTTCGTCGCCAAGTCTTCGTCCATGTCGAAGGAGATGTTAAGAAATTTGTTAAGGAATAATGGACAAGATAAGTATCGACGAAGAGTTTTACGATCAATGCGGCCAAATTCAATAAGTTTCGAATTTTTGGATTCTGTAGACTCGATTCGAAACGGGATTGGGATGGATTACTTTGTTAGATACTTGGAAAGAGTGCAATCTCATACGGTTACTTGGTTGCTTGCGACGAAACATAATTAATAGCTTTTATTGTTTTAATAACATGTTGAATTTATTTTATGATTATTGCTCACGGACACATAATATTGAAATGATACATATGTATTTGAGGGGTTGTATAAAGCGTCTTGTATAATGTAGGTTTATCTTCGTATGTTGCAAATTACAACCTAAAAATGAACATGTAAATACACAAATCGTCGGACTAATTCTAAAACCACGTAAGTGGAGTCTCATCTTACTTCTAAAACCACGTAAGTGCACTCGCTTCGTAATTCTAAAACCACCTAAGTGCAGTCAATGTTTAATTCTAAAACCACGTAAGTGCACAACAAAAAACAAGGAAAATAACCTAATTGCAGTTCCAATATAATGTGCAGTTAATTATTTATGCAAGATCACACTATAAACTTAAATATGAAAATTAACTACATATTGTATTGGAACTGCAATTAGGTTATTTTCCTTGTTTTTTGTTGTGCACTTACGTGGTTTTAGAATTAAACATTGACTGCACTTACGTGGTTTTAGAATTAAACATTGACTGCACTTAGGTGGTTTTAGAATTACGAAGCGAGTGCACTTACGTGGTTTTAGAAGTAAGATGAGACTGCACTTACGTGGTTTTAGAATTAGTCCGACGAAATGTAATTAATACAATCATGACTAAAGTTACATGCACCTTAATGTACGTATGTATATTTCACATAAATACAAACAAGATTTGAAAATTGTATAATAAATGTGACATTTTCGACGAAATAATTAATTTGACACTTGCAAAAGACACGATTTCCCGTCGAGCATGTTTGGCAAATATATTTGCATCCAATGGGGAGAAAATGCGGTGTAATGTGGAAAAATTCTATGTACACGTTGCCAATTTATTGCGCATTGTGTCTTCTTAGGATGCAAATACCATCCCTGCCAAACATGAGGACATGCAAATAGTGCACTATTTGCATGTGAAAACCCATGGGTTTTCATAATTAAAGCTCGGCACTAATTTCACCTATGTAAGAATTTGCCAGTTTTTGAGGTTTTGTCACTTTTTAAAATTTGAGTAAGGGCATACCTATGTGTTGTTTAATAATTAAGCTATTTTTGTGTGTAAATATATTGTTTCTGTATGTTTAAAAAAATAAAATGAAAATTTTGTTATCGGGTCGTATTAAGACAAAGCTACATTTAAGAATTTTAAACACGATGTAAATTAAGATAGGGCAGATTAGGACAATTTTACTGATTGCATGGTTTTCAGGTGTTATTAGCCTTAAATGCGCTACCGCCGCTGGCCTGGCTATCTCTATTAATGAGTACAGAGATTCGCATTTTTATTTGATAACGAATTTGTCGTTGAATAACCCCGGAACGGTTTGTCGCAGCGGGTCAAAATTTTGAACAGAGGAGCATGTTATCCTCAGATAGTTGTGTGCAAAAATTCAACTCTCTACTTTCAAAACTGCCTCTCCCACAGCCCCCAGAAGTTGAGTCACTAATTTCAACTCTTTCCAAACTCCGTCTAAAAAATTAGGGTTGCCCCGGGTAGTGGTACTACCCGGTACCCGGCTACCCGGTACTCGGCCTTAAATTGTCGCCGGGTACCCGGCTACTCGGCCGGATACCGGGTAATATTTGTATACTAAAAATAACGGGAATTTTTCTGTTTTTTGCTAAAACTCGTAACAGTTTTATAAAGTTTAAAAATTGCCAGTTAAACACAGTGCAGACGTTATTTACCCAGAGTCAGTGTCTGATTCTAAATTTGTCTCCGAATTGACATGACTATCACCCGTTATGGCATGCCGAATATTAAAAAAAATTTCCCTGGTGCATGTCACCCGATTTTTAATGTATTTACTAATCCTTCCCCTTGACTGCCACTGTCAGGACAAGTGAAACTCGCCCTCTTTGCTTCTTTATGGACTTACGGGCATGACGGTTCCATAAGACATGATTCGAGCTAAAAAGTGGATATTGCATATTGAAATGAAAGCATCATGTCACATGATTCATGTGGGACACACGAAGAGTTTGTTTCTTAAGGGAA